GATTTTAACGATTACCTTCTAAAGCGCTTTACAGCCGAGCTCCAAACTACATGGTGAGCTGTTCCACCCGTACATGGAGGAGCCTGGGATTTTAACGATTACCTTCTAAAGCGCGTCATAATTAAGAACCAGAGGTGACTGGGTTTTTGCAGTCTGCAGCCTTGGGCCTCCATGCTTGAAGGGTCAGAGACTTGCATTAGTTAGTTAGTTATTTCCATTTTTTTAATGACAAAATTATGAGTGTATTTTTTATAGTCTTCTATACATTCTATAATTATTTTTTATTATTTGTATTGTTTATTAATTATCTGATTTCTTTATCATAAAGTCATCTGTTTAGAAAACTAGAAAAATAAAAAATAAAGTAAATAACATTTAATAATTCATGTGTTGTTAAATAAATAAAAAATACAATGTTATATAAATATGTTTGTATATATATATATGTATATTTAACTGTATAATTACATATAAAAAGATGTTCATGTTTTAACTCTTCCTCCTCCTCCTCCTCCTCCTCACTGTAGCCTGTACCTGATTTCATTTGGAGCGTCTTCTTCTTCATATTTCTTCATCTCCTTCTTGCGACACACCAACCAGATGATGATGATAATGAGAAGGACGCCGAAGGAAACGCCAACCACCGCACCTGCCACCACGCCCATTCCTCTCACATCTACACAAGGCAAAACAGAAGAAAAGAAAAATGAAGAAGTACACCAGGAAGGAGACTGCAGTCAACGGAGAGTCCTCACAACGAGTACTGCGACAGTATTTCAGACTGTTCTCTTAAACAGCAGCGTTCTCTGAGTTACTCTTTGTGCCAAGTCGTGCAGTGTGTGGCTGTGCAGTATTCACTCACAGTGCATCTTAACCTCCACTGTGCAGCTCTCCTCTCCCACGTCATTGGTGGCTGTGCATTTGTAGACTCCAGTGCTGTCCTTGGTCAAGTTCCTCAATGTCACAATTTCGGGGTTTTTCAAATCTAAAAAGACAACGACAGAACACTTAACTGTGAATTAGTTCTAGGTTTTTTTAAACATTAAACACAGAACATAATAAAATTAAATTATCATCTGTTTGTAAAAAAAATGACACAAAGCTGATTTGACTGTCATCTCTACAGCCCTGGTAATTGTACAAAAGCTGTCAGCAGAGATAAAAGACAGGGGACCAAAGAAAGACACAGCAGCTGGCAGCTAACAGTCAGACATAGTCAGCAAAAAAAAATTCAAACTAAATTATAATGTGATGCCTAAGTAACACACTCCATGAACCGAATCCCTGTCCATCTGGACTGGATGACAAAGTCAGCATTTACTATTTTATAAAATAAAGTGTGTCAAATCACACAAGTCTGCACATGACAGTGACTGACTGCTAATATGAATTATCTCAGGAAATACTGTCAGCGGTGATGTCCTGTTAATTTGAGCTCGGTGTTTTAGAATTAGAAAAGTGTGTGACTATCCGATGGAATCTTATCTCATCCACGGCAGTGGAGCAGCTGTGTGTTAACTTACCTATCAGGGCCAGTGGAGGGAGCTTGCCAACGTACTTGCCCTTGTCCAGAACCCTCTCCCATTTGTAGTGGATGGGATCAGAGCCATCGGCAGACTTGCAGCTCATCTTTACGTCGCCGCCCTCCAACAGTTTGCCCTCCATCCAGCACTGTGGCTTGGACGGCTTCACTGCAGATAATATTTGCAGATGAAAACTTTTCAGATTAGAAGTCATTTTAAGTCTAACTCATAAACCTCTATCATTATCTAATGTTTTCCCATATTAGTCATTCCATCATTTGGATAAGTCCTGCTGTTATTGTTGTTAGTCTTTCTGTTACAGCAACAACAAGTTCTCATATTAGGGATTTTAAATTATCCTGATTAATCAGGATTAATCATGACAAATTATGATTAATACACAGCTCCCCACTGACCAATCAGACTCGAAAAAGGAGGGACGGTGGTTAATTAAACGAAGCAGCGAGTCAGGAGGAAAAACAGGAAGACCACAGGGAAGATTCAGACACGAAGACATTTGGTTTAACTGTATAGCAGTAAGGTGAGATGGAGTCAGACGATCCCCTGGGGTAAACCCTGGAGGGAGCAGCTGAAGAAGCTCTGCTTTTATCTCTTATCTAATGGCTTTTTTTGTCCAAGTGTGAATTTCAAACGTGATATTGTATTCTCTTTGAAAAGCTCTTTAATAGGACAGAGATAATATAGTTTAAAAAAAGGTAAATATTATTTAACATTAATGACTGGAGTCTTGTTTACTCAGCAGTCGTTGAGCAACAATGAAGAAAGTTTAGCAGGACTGTGATATTACACTCATATACGTTGTAGTTCAAAGATGAGGAAATTGCGTGACTATTGCTCAAATACTGTAACAAAGTTACAAGTTGTGTAGCTTTATTTAATTCACCTCACTCAGAGCTGCACACAGCCTCAGTGGGATCTATAATACGCTGCATCACCAGATCTATTTTGCAGAAACTTATATAAAATATAGTAATTTTATATGTGCAAACTTTATATATAGTAGTTTTACTCCTTCAGTTCCCAGACGTTGAGATGACTTTTCTCCAGTGTTGCTGAGTCTGCCGCTTACCCAGCACTATGAGGCGGATGGTGCTCCAGTGGTACTGTGCACCGTTCTTGACTTTGCAGCTGTACTCTCCTGAGTCTGTCAGAGTCAGGTCACTGATCAGCAGGGACGCGTCCCCCTTTAAGTACTCCCCGGCGAAGGCCACGCGGCCACGCTCCGCTTCGTTTGGGTCAAATACCCTTCCAGCGAAGTAGGTGATGACCTGGTGGTGCAAAAGAAATGGGTGGGTGTATTTTTGTGATGGGGTACACAACACAGTAGGGGGTGGACGGGTGGACATGGGGTCCCAAGGAGGCACTTAGCTACTGCAGGAGAGATGTAGATTTATTTTGTCCTGGATGACAAAAAAATTCATTGAATTTTATTTTTATTTTCTTTGAAGAATTTCATTAAGAATAGCAGATATTTTTTTCGTATGAATTCTGTGGCAACAGATGTGTCAACAGCAGTCCTACCTGCTAAAGGGGGCACTGCAGATAAAGTTTGGAAACCACTAGAGTAAGAAATCACATTTGAGGTCACAACCAGCACATGACAGGAGCTCAGTGTCCTTGAGATACAGACCAACTGTCATCCCAACTTTCATCCCAACTTCCTAAACCTTGAGTGGAAAATGTCCAGCTGGTCTTCTGTTCCAAACACATCAGTGTTATTTCATTACGAGCGTGCGCCACATAATGAGATTGTGTTATTGGTTTAAAGATTAGGCTGAAAGCTGCTCAAAGACGGCCAAAATAAACTGAATTAGAAGAAAAAATCTTTAAAGATACAGAAAACAGCTTAATGTAGCCAAGAAAACCATCATGTCCTTTACATTTAGACCTTTCTAGAATGGTCCTACGGTAGGGTACATTTTACTACAGTTTCAGCGGGTATATATATATTCAGAGATTTTCAAGTCTTGTGTTTCGACGATTCCTTAAAACCCTGAAAAAAAAGTTTACCTCCTTAAAAAAAGGTCGATGTCTTTCCAAAACGAAGTTATTGACAGACCAAACCTGTAATGCTGTTACCATTTACAGTTATGGGAAATCCAGAGTCTATTGAACCTGTTTTTCCTCCATTGCCCTTAAGTAGGAGATTTTTCCATCTCAGACTGCCATCGATATCAGACCCAGGGCAGATTAATGGTTAATGGTTTTGGGCGAGTTGGATTTTTTTGGAGCTATTCCACCATCCTCTGTTATTTTATATTGAATATCTGCCGCTGACACTTGTTTAAACATGTTGCACCTAATAAAATAGATGAGGTTTTTAGGTAGACAGATACTCACCACTCTCTTCAAAAACAGCCATTCTATGTCCAGGGTGGGGTCATCACCCACCCAGAACTGATGGTGGCAGGGCAGCGTGGCATTGTCCCCCACGACCCTCTTCATCTCTATCTGGGCGTATGTTGTCAGCACAGCCAGTAGAACTGGAGAGACATAAGAGAGAGATTTATGTCTTTAATACTGCATCAGGGTGAGAAGCCTGTCTTTCAGATGCTGTTTCTTCAAAGTCCTAACCTGTTCCCAGTTCAGTTTAACTCGTCTTTAACAAAAGAGGAAAACCTTCAGACTGTCAATTCATTCAATCTTCTTCTACAGCTTGATCTTTGACAAACATCCGTTCAAACACAAACTCACAGCATCTTTAATCAACGCTTGTTTTTGTGAAGTGAGAGGGAACTGAACTCCCGGGAGAACTCGCGCTCAAGTAGAACACGTAAACTTCAAATTTATATAAATTGTTTTTGAATGGCAGAGGAAAGTGGAGTCTGGAGTGGAAACACTATCATTTGTTGTTATTCCCATATCCAAAAATATAACAAACCAGTACTTTAAACATTGTGATTTTCTTTTTTTTTTACCACTGTTTTTCTATGTTTGTTGTGCTTTAAAAAGCTGGCCAGTGATAACCAGTGTGTGAAGTTTGAGTGCTTTAAGGTATCAAGAGGGCAGTTACAGGGGTGACTTGATATGTGGAACTAATTACTTGATCTTAGCTGAGGCTAAGTTGCTGGCAATTAGTGTGACATATGTACAAGTGTGCATTTCTAAAGGGCACCTGCAGGCGGTGATAGGAACAAGACTGACTGAACTGGGCCTCCATACAAAGACAGTTTTTACTCAGTAAACTTTTACACATTTGCAGCAGTTACAGTACATCCATTATTTAGGAATAGAGAGCGGATAAGGATTTACATTTCTTTCTATTTCAAATTGAAAATCACATATTCAAATAAAAAATCCCTACACCTGTAGTAGGCAGAGCAGCTCCTTCCTTTGAATTGTCAGATTCAATCCAAACAAAGAAGAGACAAGGACAATGGGGTAGGATTCAGCTGGAGTGTGAGCTTACCACCCACAGCAGGACAGAGAATAATACTGGCTCCAGCAACTGGGGAGGAATTACCATGAGGGTGAGGATGAAAGCTGGAGCCTCTGAATGTACCCGCTTTTATTTATTTATCCTGGCTTGGACACTGATCAACTGTATGGATGGACTGTCCTGTCCTGCCCTGCTGGCTCGACACATTGTGCTCAGAGCGGGGGAGGAAAGACGGCACAGAGAGAGAGAGAGAGAGCGAGAGCGAGTGCATTAGCAGTGTGAAAACGAGCGTGCACGAGGAAAATGCTGCGAAAGCCAAACGTGATTGTTTTAAACTATGCGTCTTATTATCTGTCCACTCGTCCATGTCTGTTTCAGCGTCGGCGTGACCAGTTTTGCTCTGCTCTCGTTACTCGAAACATTCTCACTGGACCAATTAATAATGGCAGCCACCACCCAGTTAGCCCTCCGACTGCTGCCACACTTATCGCCTTCCTGCCTGTGACTGGAGGCCTGTACCCAGAATGCTCTGATCTTATGAGGAATGCTCAGAATTAAAAACAGGAAGAAAAAAAATCAAAAGAAAGGAAGGGAAACTAGGGGAGTAGACTCAGTCCAGCCTCCGAGCTAATGTAGCCAAGAGTTATTGTCTCTTTATTTATTCATCTAGTTGTTAGATAGTGCTGCAGAAAATTTGCACCGGTATGTGTCTTTGTGTGATATCTCTTTCTTGCACGTTATTAGCATTAGCGTGTATGATTAAAGGGCTAGTCAATTCCAGGCAGTGAGACGGGTAGTCATTACTCAAACGTTTCATTTTCACTCATTCCATTATCTGTGTTATAACTCTGCACACCATTATCTGCCCCGTCCTTCTCATCTCATCCAGTTTGATCTCGGACCACGTTTGTATGCGAGTCCAATTTGAAGTCGTCCAAACACGAATCCCACGTTGCACCACTTTGCACAGCAGCGCATTGAAAGAATTTCAATCTGCTGCAGAAAAACTGAAGTTCTTTCAGTTAAAATGTGCAGCTCAGTGCTGATTAAATTACAGTAGGGCCTTTCATCTCCTATTGTGTATCTGGGTACGCGTATCCTTTGATCTCAGCGGGTCGGCTCGGTCTCATTCACTAAATTGAATGGAGGCAGCGTTTTTTTGAGTCTGTATGAAAGCCAAAGCTTCATCCCATCATTGTAGTCATCAGTGACAGCCCTGTGGATGAGTGGACCGATCAATAACTGATCGATCCAGCTGTGCACAACAAGCCTTTCCTAAGTAGACGGGGGAAAATCATTTGAAAAAATAAATATTTTATGTAGACTCCCACTCCAGTACAGACAGCATGTCTGTTGTTCAGTGCACTCGACTGACGTAGTAAAGTAGGAATAGTTTTCACTCCGATTACTGGAACTTTCTAACAGAGAACTGAAAAACGGAGTCTCGTGGAATTTACCACTTTGACTTTGTGGCGAGCTGTGCTTTTTGCGACTTAAGAGAACAAAGTGGTGTCCATCAAACTGACGAGCAGTGTTCTGACAGAAGCGTAGCCATCAGATATGAACGGCCTGCTCTTTTAGCCAGCGTGTACTTGTTTAAGATGCACAGACGCAGAAGCACGGCGGTGCTTGAAGAGCTACTTGGAAACTTATGGCAGAGAATTTCTATTGTAGAGGGAACGGACGAAACAAAGCAGCAGCTGTCTGAGTGTATCCTGAGTGTATCCTGAGCGTCTGTACGTCCCAGAGTCGACTGGAGAGGCTGGACTGGTTTCAGAACGTAGAGTCGGAATTTTTCTTATTTCGAAAATGACCAACTAAAGCATTTTAATGAACAAACTAAGAAAACAACTTATTCATATCCTTAAAAATGACCTTTAGTCATGGGCCAGATGAGGGGAGTTTGAGTGCCAAAAGTGGCCCCCAGGCCAAGAGTTTAGAACTACTGCTTTATTGTCAATTTTCCTCCAAAGTGGATTTAAATGATGATACAATTTTCTAGTAAGATCTTCAACAAAAGCCATGCAAGCGGAAACAGTGAGATATCAATGTGTGAATCTGTTTTAGTGTGTGTACACACACTAAAACAGACGATAAGATGTATGTGCTCATCTGAATTTTGATTCGCTCCTTTTGTTACTAGTGGAGAACCCCGGGGCTGCTTTGTGTCCGTTCAATGTTCCAGCAAAGTTGAGCGTCTCATTTACATCCAGTGTGAGCGTGTGCACCACTGTTCTCTGAGCAGGTGGGAATGAAAATGATTCTATTAAGACACAGATCGATGTTTTGCTCCAGCAGTCAGTACCTATTGTGTCACTGCATTGTCTACGATATTTCATTTATTTCCCCAGGCTGCTGTGTACTGCGGTGCAGTAGATGCATGTGCCAGCTGCCAGCTCTGCTGATTGTGTGCCAACGTATTCACCTAAGAGACTGGTAATGAATAATGGAAGAAAACAACAGTAATAAATGTGATCACCATTAGGAATGAGGAAGAGAATGAATAATAATCATGGCTGATGTAGCGTTACTTCTCTCATTACACCACAGTAGTTAGAGTAAAATGAAAAACAAACTATTTCAAAATTTAATATTGTATATGCATTTCAGTTAATGATCCAACAGCTCACCCAGGCGTGGGTAAACCTTTTGACTCGCGGGCCACAATTGGTCCTAAAATTAAACGGGGGAGCTGAACTAGGGGCGAACTAAGATAAATGTCATGCATGTAAAAGTCAAAATTAAATAATTTTCTACGCCATCTATTTGTGAAAGGTGGGTATTGCAGAGAAAAGGAAGAAGTATAATGATAACATAAATAAATTATATAATTTGGAATCATTTGGCAGGCCAGATTAAAAAGCATCCAGCCCCCGGACCTTAGTTTGCCTATGCATGAGCTAGCCTCATCTTCTGCTGCGAACATGAACGCCACACGTAACGGCCGATTCACTCATGTTTACCACCACTCTCCTTCGATCTAATTCAGTAGAGATGCTTCCACCTTAGATCATGGATTGTACATTACAACCTGCATGTGTTTACATTGTTATTCATGTCATAACATCCACCTGTTTTTATAGTCAGGACCAAGATAACAGGTGCATTTGTCATTACTGTTTTTGCGATGCTCCAACCTTCCTGCTTTTCGCTGCACTGCACAAACAATAATGATGCACGGTACCGTTGAAAGGCATCACGGAGCTGCAGATGATGAGGGACCGCGTAAATGTCAAGTAACTTTATAACAGAAACTAAGGCACCAGGAGGGAAAGCTCCAAACTTTTCTCCCAAGCAGAAGATTCTCCCCGTGCCAAGAACAAAGGGGAATCTGAAAAGAATGGGATTTGAAGGGGAATACCTGCCAGCTGACAGAGTTTGACAGCGGCTGAATGATTCATGTGCAGCACCGGTCGAGTTATGGGATGTTTCTCTGCTCCTCTTTCTCTACCTCCTTCTGCACGTTAGCAGCTTTTGTGAAGCGTGCGGTCATTTTTACCGCAGCCTTGAACACTTGGAGCGAGAAAAGTCCAAATCAATCATGTTTTATACGGTGCTGTTGTTTGCCACTGCTGCTGCTGCTGCTTTACTGTGGGAAAATAACAGCCTGAATGTAGACAATCAATAATAATAAAAAATAAAAAAAGTGTTTGCGTTATACAAATGCTGAATGTAAATTCACCAGGATAAAATTATTTAATTGCTAAAAAAACAATCAACCAATCACTTTATTGAAGGAGGAATAACATGTTCATGTTGATCATATCATACACTATATCATATATCACTGTAGTTTTATGAATGACAACTGTGTGCTCCACATTTAGAGCCTGTGCTATTCCTGGCCAGTCTCAAGAGACTCTGACCAATCACAGAACATTTCAGTAAGATACAGAGAGAGGGCGCTCTTTTGAGTTACAGAAATACTGTACAAAATGGTCTCATTGGAGTGGTCAATTTAGGGTACGTAATTAACTAAATCACAAATGTCTGCGTCTTTGAGCGGTAGAAATGGAGTGATTTCCTCCAGACTCGCCCCGAGAACATGTAGACACCACAATAAAAGACCAGCAGTCTTTCTGTTAAACAACAACAGCACGGACC